AAAAAAATCGCCAAGAAAAAAAAAAATATTTCTATCCAAATTTGTTACCAAATTGAGAACCCGTTCACACCGAGCTACATCAGAAAAAGCACTTTTTCATCGTCGATTTGAGCCGAGCGCCTTTGAGAGACATTGAGCTACATTGCACATATTGTCACGCTACGTAGCTCTACTTTTGGCATGGACTTCGCAGCTGCTGCATTGGGCTGTATCCAATCAAAAGCAGTCTTGATATGACAATTCCTATTCCCGTTTCATGCTTATGTTCCTTTATATTTTTGAGCAAAACTGACACTTCTTTAACGCAACAGTGTCGTGCAAATTCGTGCGACATTGAGCTACACCATTGAAGTCTATTGGGCCAAATCGCACGAAATCCACCAAAAAATTGGTCATGTTCAAGCCACAAGCTTGAGCTGCAGGCGACATTGAGCTGTGAGATGTGAAAAGCTCAATTGAAATGCATTGGACAAGCTACATTGAGCTGATGTTTGAGCAATTTAGTTGAAATCGTGCAACACATCGATCAGTGTGAATGGGGCCTAAAGCTCTGTCCATTACAAAACAAGCTGTAAATATGTTAGGGTAGACTACAAAACCTAAAAGATGTGTGAAACGGAGGACAAAAAAAAAAAAAATGTCCGGGGACTCGCATGGTTAATGTACCTCCAGTGATGTGTCCCAAAACGCACGTCAATGTAAACTTCATCCAGCTTGTCAATTTTATAAAAACAAATGCAAACATCACTACTGACCAATACAAGTGAATTAGCAAACAGAAACCTGGCACAGCCCATTAATTGCTCCCTTCCGCATATACTGTACACTTGTGACATGACTAAAGTCACATCATCAGCACTGATTAATAGAAGCACCATGAGCAATGGCGGAGAACAAATTGCCAACCCGAGAAAACTTAATTTTTGTAGTCAGATGATTAAAAATATGCTGACTGGCTGTACAAGTCACTGCACTCTGCAATATTACAGAAATCTGGGCATATTAATGCACACTGTAATCATGGCAAGCAACAGGTTAATAGTTCTGTAAGTAATACAAATGTATGCATCATGCATTTTTCATTGACTTCTACTGGCCCCCTACACGCACCGATTGTGAACTGGGCCTATGAACTTACTCAATCCAATTTCAAGTTTTACAGGTCGGACTTCACTAAAATGACATCTGATTGACTGCTACGAGACAATGTTGATCATTGCAGCTCTCTGCACAGTCATACTGAATAAGCTCAATGTCATGTCTTAAATTGGGTATCAATGTAATACACAGCATTAGGGCTCAAGATCTTGGCCTCCAGTGCATACCTATGTAACCAAAGATCATGCCATTTCCCCATACAGTCATGTGTGTAAGCAAATACATTGTTAAGGAAAGGAAAAACATGATTAAGTATCTTTACTAACAATCTTAGAAGATCACTGTATTTGAGAACAGCAAAATACTTTGGACATCTTTTTTTTTTTCTTTCCCTTTTATGATGCTATTAAGAAAAAAAAAAGGAATCCTTTAGTGACAGTTTCCGATTTACATAGATAGGAATAGACATAGAACAGAATGTCACTGCCCATACAGAGAAAAATGACAGGTTCTCTCACCAGGTCACCACCGCCTGATATTCAATCTAGTTTTGCACTCAGTTACCTTTTTCTTCTTGAATACACAACGCAAATAGGATCACCAGGTATATTTTAATTCAAAGTAGGAAATATACTATATGGGGAAAGTTTGTGGACATAACATAACATCTATATGAGCTTGTTGGAAATACCATTCCGAAACCATGAGCATCAACACTGAGCTGTCTGAGAAGGTGTTTTAACAAGAGTCTGGAGTGCATCTGTGGTAATATGGGCCAATGCAGCCAAAAGAGCATTTAGGAAGTCAGGTATTGATGTTGGATGAGCCAGCCTAGCACGCAATATTCCAATTAATCCCAAAAGTGCTCAATAGGGTTGTCGGGACTCTGCGCAGCCACTTGAATTTCTCCAAACACTACTTAAACCATGTCTTTATGGAACTGGCTTTCAACATGGTGCAAAATCATAATGGAACAGAAAAATGGCCTTTCACCAAACTTTTTTAAAAACTTGGAAACATGCGATTGTCTAAAATGCCTTTGTATCATGTCGCAGTAACACTTGGACTCAATTTGCCAATATCCATGTTGTGTAAGTATTAGGGACCGTTCAAACTAGCCTCTCTGCTAAAACACACCTCAGCATACTGCACTACCATGCCAGAACCTAACGGGAGTGTACACATTGTACACTCACTGTGTAACCTTATGTAGAGAGTACAACGTGTACATTCCAATTAGGTCTCCGCACAACAGTACAGTGCCCCGTGGTGGTATGCAGTGCCATTACAGCACACCTCCCATTCCACCTGTGGTGTGATTTTAATTGGACACACTGAAAACAATTGTTTTTTAGGTGTCCTTGTGGAGACCTGCATTGATCCAGTGCGGTAAAAACACAGGTCGTCGCCGTATGTGTGAACGGGCCCTGAAGGTTTAGGGGTCCACAAACCTTTTGATACAATAGATGAAAATACTGTGCTTAAGATACACAGAAGTGTTATGGTTAAAAATACACTTTAAATCATTTGAATGGTTACCTGTAAACGGCACCTGCATGTAAAAATCACTTTATAAAGTTTACTCTGCATTTCAGAACTATGGGAAGCGGAGATAGCTAGCCTCAGGGCTTATAAACAAAAGCATCAAAAAAGAATGCTCTACCTCCCTAGGACATCTGGGCCACAACCACTACAACACGCAGACTGGTC